ATTCGGGCCGGGAGGGCGGCCCTTCCCCCACCCCATACCGAGGTGGAGCCCGAGGACCGAGGTACGCGGGTATGCTTCCGGAAACAGCCGAACGTACTCCCGCGGGAATGGACGACTGCCGTTAGCCACGAGACAGCCGAGGGTGCCCGGAAATAGCCGAGAGCAGCCGAGTCGGGAGAGCGCTCGAGGGGCTGTAGGGCTCGCGGTCGGGCGGTAGAGGGGAACGGAAACAGGGTCGGAGACGCTTTCGCTCCGAAACCGGACTCGGAGGGCCGGACTCAGCGGGACCGAGCCGCCCGAGCCGTTCGCAAGAGACGAACTGCTGCGGCGGGTTTGCTTTTCACCAAGCTGGGGAGCGGCACCACCGCGGGGCGCGTCTGGGAAGAGCCGAGCGTCTCAAACACAGGTCTTAGAGGGCGGCACTTGCAGGCCGCCAACCGCCTCCGGAAATTGCCGAAGCTCGCCCGGTAACCGGGGGAGTTAGGCGGCCGGTGGAAGGGGAAGGCGTTCCCATGGCAACCATCGGCGTCCGGAAACAACCGAAGCGTCTCCGGCCCAACACGCGCGAGAACGCGCGGCGGACCGAGGCCCGGAAGCACGATTGTTTCCGGAAATAGCGGCTGGGGGTGGCAGATGGCGTGGCCGAGGGCAATTATTAGCGGGAGCACCGGAAAGAGTCGAGCCTTTTCGGCTCATTTCAGAAAGAGTACTTATTTTCTCGCCCAGCACAAAGACTGAGGTTGCGGCGAGAGCTCGCGGTTAAGGGTGCTCGCTGCTCTTGCAGAGGACCTGGGCTGTTTCCTTTAAATACCAGCCGCTTGTAAGTGCAGGACCTCTGCGACTGGGACTTAAGAGAAAATACAGAAAGATGAGCTTACTCATTGAAGAATTTAGTTTATTTGTTTGGCTTTTCGAGACAGGGATTCTCTGTGTAGCTTTGGAGGCTGTCCTGGAACTTGCGCTGGGGACCAGGCTGGCCTCGAAGTCACAGAGACCCGCCTGCCTCTGCCTCCCGAGTGCTGGGATTAAAGGCGTGAGCCACCAACAACGCCCAGCTTTGGTTTTTTTTTTTTTTTTTTTTTTTTTTTTTTTTTTTTTTTTCTGCAGCTCTGGGCGATGAAGCTCGAACTACAAAACTAAACAAACCCACATGGAGTTTATTGAGGAAGGGAGCTAAGCGGGGTAGGTTGTTGGCCAACTGGGAACAGAGATGGAAGGGGAAAGGAAGAGAAAAGAGGTAAAGAGACAGAGGACAGGAGAGAAGGGGGAGACAGGAAAAGCCCGGTCTGCCCCAGGGGAACAGCAGGAAAGAGCAGAAAGAGATGAGGGACAAAAAGACCAGTAAGTGAGCCAGTTCTGTCTTTTAAGGGGTCCTTTGCACCTGTGTGCAAACTCCACGGACCCCTGGCTGACCAGGGTACTGCCTGAGTGCATTCTGCCAGGTGACAGACCAGCATGATATCTGAGTCCTTACAGTTGTTTTGTTTGTAATTCTTATTTGTGCCTGGGTGTTTTGCTTGCATGTATGTCTCTGCACCATGAGTACCTGGTGCCAGTGGAAGTCAGAAGAGGGAATCAGACCACCTGGAGCTGTCGTTACGGGTGGCTAGCTGTGAGCCACCATGCGCGTGATGGGAATCAACCTGGTCCTCTCCAAGAGCAGCCAAGTGCTTCAGCCATCTCTTCAACGATATTTTACTTGAGAGTCTTGTTATGAGCCCAGAATGCATTTGAGCTCATGACCCTTCTGCTTCAGCCCCTCCCCAGTGTTAGGATTATGGTATATACTTTATTATGTTTAGTTTTATTTTAGAGGTGGGATTTTTGTCTTCATTGCCCTGGCTGGTCTGGAACTCAGCCTTCTAGGTAGCTGGGATGCAGCCTGGCTTGGATTAAGTGCTTAAGCAAACTCCTGTATAGCCTGTGAAAACTACCTCAGATATTGTCTCCACAGTTGTTCCCTATATCCTATCTGCTTCCCAGCCACTCACAAATGCACACAACAGGATTTGATGTCATCACGAGTTTTTATTCAATGCCAGCTCCAGGATGGGCGGAGGGCTAGTCATGCACAGCCTTGGTCTCCCAGCAGGCAGTGCTGGCTGGGAGTCAGGGAGGGTGCAGAGCAGGTTTGAATGTCTGGGAATCCCCCTCACAGAGTGGGCAGAGCTGCATGTCTGGCAACCTACTAGATCACACAGCATCATGGGGGATAACCTGGGCTATCCCATGACCATGCTCACAGCAGAGCCAGGCAGATCCTGTCACTGGGTCATTGTAGGACAAGCCTCTGGCCTCAGCTGCTCGGGTCACACAAAAAGCTGGGGAGAAGGGGGGGGGTCCAGCAGCACTCAGTGCTCAAGTCACAGGTTAGTCTTGTAAACACAGCAGCCCAGGCACAGAATGGGAAAGACATTCCCCCAGAAGCACACAGCAAAGCTGAAGTTTCAGGCCTCTCAACTAGCAGAAGGAGGCTGTGACAACCAGGTAGATGTCATGGGCCTGGATCGCGTGGTGGCACTCTGTCTACAAGTTGTGGTGTAGGGCGTCAGGCGTGGTCCTCACCAGCTAGACAAGTGCTGTTCCAGCCTTGCAGGGGACACATTTCTTTCCCACCTTAACGGTGCCCTTAGGTTTGTCAGTTGAGTCCTCCACAGTGCATGGGCTGTTCCATCTCAATCAGGTGAACTCTTATTTCATCAAACCCCTGGTTCCCACGCCTCTTCTAAGCTGAAGCATGCAGGATCAGAGAGGCAGAATGTAGAAGATAGTCTGGGCTACCCAAACAAAGGATGCAGCCCACCATGGAACTGGTGGTCCTGTTTCAGCCTCCATAGTTCTGTGATCACAAGCATGTGCCAACACACCCAGCTCCCAAATCCTGTCCACACTGGGCTGGGGCAGTGTTTGTGCCCTGGAGTGGGCCTTGGGCTGGGACTAAAAGAAGGGGACACACACATAACACACACTTGGAAAGGACAGGGGACACACTAGAAAACACAGAAGTTGCCCAGAGTGCTCTGCCTTGGCCCAGAGAACAGGGTCTGCAGGCTGTGCCCAAGGGGCCGAGGCCAAGACAGGGACAGCCACCTCCACCAGGGCGGCCAGCCTGTATATTGCTTATAAAAAGTAATAAATAGTTGAGAGGGCCTGCTATTTACAAGTCACAGGCACCCCCATCCCAGTTCTTCTGGGTAGGGGAGCACCCTCCAGCCACGTGTCCCAGGCTGATGGCCACTCCCCATCCAGGTGTGACTGTGGAAATGACAGCTCCATGAGGAACTGTGGCCAGGGATGGCAGTTAGTCTTTTGTGGCTGGCCCTGGGGTTCCAGGAGTGGCCTCTGCACCCTGCACAGCGATCTTGGGCACCGCTCGAGGCGGTCCAGGCTCCTCATCGAAGCTCACCTCCTGCACTGCCTCCTGCTTTTTGAAGGAGTCCCTGCGCTCAGAGAGGTGCAGCCTCCTCATGACAACCAGCTCAGCCTCGGTCCCCCGGCCACGCCATCCTCCATCCCCCTCCAGCCGCTCACTGGTGCCCAGGCCCAGCTTGTCAGCAGACTGGCCTCTGCGCAGCCTAGGGGACCTCACTGGTATGGGGATGTGCCCTGGTAGGGGTGATGGCGAGCGTGGCGGGGGCGTGGGCACCGGTGGGCAGGCCAGCGGAGATGGTGGAATACTGCTGGTGGACTTGCGGCGGCCGCT